ACCATGATTTAGCAGGCTGTGGAAGTGCCATCTTTCTTCCAATAAATAATGTTTTCCTTGAGCTTGTTTTAACAGGACAGCTGATTAACCCGCCACAGCCAGCGGTTACACTGGAGGATGCAGGACAAAGCCCAGAGATTAGCAGTGCAGCCTTTCAGCTACTGCTCTGTTGCTGCATGAGCCACCAGCATTCACAGGACAGGAATGGTCGATACCCTCCTCAGATCTCACTGTTCCCATATGCTCTGCCTCATCTGGCAGATAAGAGCTCTTGGGGACAGGGCTGGTCCTCTGGCACAGTCCCAGCAAGCAAGGGTCAGCTTTTCACGAAAGGCTCCTAGATGTCAGGAGACAGACAGCATTGTCATTGTGCTTTCGAAAGGTCCCTACCAAATCATGGCTTGGCTTCTTCCGACCAAGTTCGGGGTTTGGACTACACCATTCTCAGAGTTCGAGATGGATCAAAGCAGGGCCACACTTCAGGACCACCAGGTGGCCCCTCCTTGCTTGACTGTACAGCAAAGGAGCTGCACAGGAAAGGATCTGTGGGTGGTGGAGTCACTATCCCTGGAGGTGTTCGAAAGATGTATAGCTGTGGTGCTTAGAGATATGGTTTAGTAGTCGGCTTGGCAGTGTTAGGTTAATGGTTGGACCTGATGATCTCAAAGGTCTTTTCCAACCAAAACAATTCTATGATCTATCCCGTTCCCCCACACACAGAAGAACACTGTGAGCTCCACCACGGACCAAGGTGCCAAAAGCATTCTTGGAGGTAGTCTGTAGCTCTGATAGCAATGCAACTTCTCTACACAAGAGAGGACACACTGCCCACACAGTTAAGCTGAAAGAGAAGCCCAGCTCCAGCCTTTTGGGGCCCAGATTCCAGGACCAGAGTGATAAAATGGAAGACAGAAGGGTAGCACAGCCTTTCACGCTCTTCTCTCAGGAGATGTGGCGAATACTCAGTACGTAACACCATAAAGCAAAGGCAGCTCCAGGGGAGAAAAAAAGATCCTTGGGACTATGAAAACAAAAGCACACACTGCACTCAGCTGACATTTAGGACAGCAAGCCTTTAGCAATCCACTCCTGAGCTGACTGAAAGCACTCACCTTCTGGGCAGTGAGGGCTATACACAGCAACCCTGGAAATACTCTTCAAGACTCAAGAACAACCAACCAACCAACCTGTCCAGTCGTGGCTTATTCCACACCATCCAGCCCTTTATCAAGAGTTTTGTGCTCACTATTTATCGCTCCAGATGAATTTGGCAGAAAAGAAGGCTCCAGTATGGGCGAGGGTACCATTCAGGCAGACCACCATATCCTCCAGCTGGTGTGGAGCCAGGCAGTCCAGGACAAGTGTGACCTACTTGCTTCAAGCTCTCTGATTTCACTCTTGATTCACATGTGTCCAAGAAATGGAGGCCTGTAGACCAAGTTGAGGAGATGAGAGAGATCTACAGTCTTGGAAATCCTCTCTTTCTGAAAGAATCACATTTACTTTCTTCTCCTAGCCACCCTTTGCCTCCCAAATACATCTTTGGAGTTCAGATGGTTACTCTGTTCTTCCCCGAGCTGGTAAGACACAGCACCACTACCTTGGGGTTATGAGGACTGAAAACCCAAGAGTTTTCACAGGACAAGGCCACAGCAGACCAATGAACTGCAGGCTGAGATGCACAAATAAAACATGACAGACACCTGCAGGTGCATGAGACTAGTTCCACACACAGCTTAAGCCAAAGATAGGGCAGATCCCATCCCTCCACGTGCACACCACTGTTTCCATAAGGCATGCAAGTCCCCAGCTGAGCTGATAGCGCAGACAGAAGTGCTAGCACCCACAGAGAGGAGGTGGTGGAAACAAACAGCTTCTGGAAAGCCTCTCCCAACAGAGGCCCACACCAACAAGCTTGAGCCAACTACCTGCCACTTCTCAGCTGGCCACTTCACAGCCTCATTACCCAACTAGAAGATGACAGGTCCTGCTGCTGGATTCCACCATACCAATCACCTTTATACCACTGGCAGGTCAGAAAGAAATCGGTTTACTACACGGTTGCTGTGGAAGCAAGAGGAATATTAGCAATACGAGGCTCGTGAACGCTGGCTTGAAGGCAAAGAAATTCCTGTTTCTAAAGAAGGTGCTTTTGTGCATTTCCCAGGCTCCATGTACTTTTTGCAGTACAGATCATTGCAGACTAACAGTAAAGCCTGTCAATAACCGACATTGCAGACTCAGGCTGAGCTCTGGTTCTTAACAGCAGCACCGCTGTCCAACTGCATCAACAGCTTTTTATTCTCCAGAGGCGATACCAGACCTCTAACAGGCTACCACAGCGATTAGGAGCTGGAAACGGCTCGCCATCCTTTTGACTAGGTAACTCCTAAGTTTGGTTATCCAAGACAGATCCCACTCAAGATCCCTGCTCACACCACCGAAGCAGAGGAAAGCAGCTTCAAGTCCTTCACTGACACCTTGTGTCAGAAGGAGGAATTAGCTACAACAGAGAGGGCCAAGCAGGTTCCAAGCGATATCCAGCAGAGGTGTACGGCACACCAGGACCTTTGGCCGAGAAACAACCAAAGCACCAGGACGTTTGGAGCTGAAAGAAGGGATTAAACGTATTATTGCCGAGGGTTTCAAGAGAAAGCTTAAGCCAAAACAGCTCTCACACCCTCCCCTCAACTCTGGTCACATTTTCCTGTCCTTTCTTAAAGCCAGCTCAGGAGCCTGCTTGATCACAGAGAGCCTATTTGGCTCTGTATTTCTGACTCATCAAGAAGGCAAGCTCAAACTGGCTTACTCTGTGATCAGACAAGCAGAGGATCACGCAGAAAATCATGATCTGCTCCTCCCAGCAGCACTACGCTGTCAGCCAGAGTCCTAAAGCAGAGAAATCTCCTTTGTGCTTCCAGACTGCTCCAAGCACACAAGAGGGAGCAGCACTTCAGACCTGGAAGCACAATGTCCTCCAAGCAACTTCAATACCAGTGACCAGCCAGATATGAGATTTCCAGGGCCAGCCCCAGAACAGCCTCAGTCCTTCAGGATTTCTCCATGGCCAAGATGATCATTCACTCCAGGACTGCAGAGACAGACTCAAATGCAAGAGGTGGCAGCAAAGACAAAACGGAAAAGGTAGAGAAGAATACATGAGTATTTTATGCCCGAGTACTTATTTTGGCTGCTAATAAGCTAGCCACTGTCTGGATCTAGTGCAGACAAGCATCCGGGAGAGAAAAAAATGCACATTAGAAGTCTGTGGAGCGCAGAAAACAAGTACTGAAATGGGAAAATCAAAACTAAAGGGACAGAGGAAAAAAAATGGTCTGACCACAGACCTATATAAGCGATCAAGAGCAACATTCCTTTGAAGGAAAAGCCCTCTACAAAGGCACACTAGACAGCAGCACAGAAAGCCAAGTGGAGGAGCACTGAGATTGGCAGTGAACTTGGAACAGCCTTCAGGCTCTGAATGAAGCTTGACAAGGAGCACAGCAGCAGCAGCTATCACCAGAGAGCTGTCAGGGACAGGACAGTAATGACACCAAGACAAACATACGGAACTCCAAACTGACTCATTCCAAATGCAGAAAACACTGCTCCAAGGGAGAGCTAAGTTTACGCAACTTGGTTCAGAAGGCAAGAAAGAGAGAAAAAAAATAGAGAAGCTGTAAGTACAAAAAGAGTCCAAAGAGGAAGTTATTTGTAGGTAAGGTGGTAAAGTGATAGGTTAGGGCATGCCAAGACTTCTGACTAGGAAGAGAGCAAGAATACCTCCCACCACCCTCTTTCAGGCCCTGGACTCCACAGCAAGAATAACAGAGACCACTGCAAGCAAAGAGCTGCAAAAAGATCCAGCTGAAAAGGGGCTTCTGTCCTAAGTAAGAACACCCTTGGTATTTTTAAAGTAAAGGGCATGTCACAGCGCCCTGTTCCCATTCTGGTGTTTAACATTTGAGTGAGCAGCTCCAGGTAACTTGCATCCAGGGTTCAGCTGGCCAACGATCCCTCTAGATAGTCAATATTCATTTCAATCACTCAGCAATGCTCATCAAGATAAAGCTGATGCTTAACTTGTATTTTTAGAAGAATGAATGATCCAATAATTATAGCCCCACTGACCAAAACAACCAACATCTCTGGACACACAATTTCAATAGAGACCTGGTTACGATCTTCACGATTTGTAACCCAGGTTCTGGTCACGAATAAGTGAAAACTGTTAGGATGGTCAGTGACACAGAGGAACAGTTTAGCACTGACTAATTCAGCTGATGAGCTGTCCACAGGTGATGAGTATCACAGAGCAAAATCTTCACAGCTCTCCAGGTTTGTACACACTGGTCTAGAAAAAAGGCGATGGCTAGAAGTCAGAATTAGCCTCAAAAGAGAATTCAAGGTTACAGGTGAAGCATGATTCACTGGTGAACTTACCAAGATCCGCACCAGATTTCTTCCAGCAGCAATCCTTCAATAACAGCAAGGACTTTCCTAGACCACCCAATCTCATCAAAAATTGATCATGGGTATCAGGGATTAAGTTAGATTACCTCAATAATCTTAGTTCTGGCCTTAAAAAGGTTTCCTGTGCTGCCTGCCATTTAGGAAGCAAAAGCACAAAACTCACCAGCAAAGCCTGACAAACCTGCCAGGCTCCCAACAACCGCAGGACACACACCACAGCCATGCAACCACCTCCAGAAAGCCCTGGGAGCTCAAGCTTCCTTCAACCGCCGGTATCAGCTGTTGCAATCACACGACCGGGAAACTGAGTCAGCTGAGCTCGCAGGCAGCAGCCGGGGTGGCGGGGGGAGCACCAAGTGCCTGCTCAGCCAACGGGTGAAGAGGGCTGGGGGCTCATTTCCCCGCTGCCACGCAGCCCCTCGCCTCCCCACCGGCCTTCCACCCTCAGACCAGCCGAGCCTTCCCCTCAGTATGAGGTGGGGAGGGGGGAGGATCCCCGCCCGCCTCAGATCCCCACCGCCACTCACCCTCCAGGCTCTCACACTGCACCAGATTCACGTAGTCCCCTTGCCGCAACACCCCCGCCTTAAAACCTCGCACCAACCCTTCCAGGTAGCCGTTATCCACGTTAAAATACAACTCCGGGAAAGACGACATGGCGGCCAACGGCAGAGACGCGAGAACAACCCACAGCGCCTCACGTGACCCCCACCCCGGAGCTCACGTGACGCGGTGTCTCCGCCCCTCTCTCCTCCCCTTCCCGCCAAGCGGTGCGAGGGCGGGAAAGGCCCTGAGGGAGATGGAGGACGGGAGCGCAATGGTGGCGGTCAGCAGCCGCGGGGGCGGCGGTTCCGAGGCTACCGACCACTCTCCCCTGTGAGGCTTCCTCCATCTCGCCTCGAACACCGCACACATACCCCCACCCCCCGTCACATCCTCACCTATGCCTGAGTGACATGGGAAAGTAGAAAATATCTGAAAATATTCTTTTTGAAATATGTGATATGCTTTAGTCTCTTCAATATTAGCTAGCTAGCCTTGTCTTTGGTAAACAAGCGTGTAACCCCCTGCCCTCGGCAGGGCTTAAGTAGGGTCTTTATCACTTGAAGGCCTGCTTCATTGCGCTCAAGTAGGGTCTCTATCACTTGAAGGCCTGCTTCATTGTTTGAGGTAAGATAGGGATGGGGGAGGAATTGTCTTTGTGCACAGACTGCGACCACGGAGGGGGATGTTGCCTTGAGCTCTTGTGGCCGGGGGGAGACACTGCCCAGCTGCCCCTGAACTGCGCATGCTCTGGAGGATGGGTTCAAAAGGTTAATCATGATGAAGAGGAACGCGTTGAGGAACTCTTACTTCCTCCCCAAGACCACCAAAAGACCCCCGAAGGGGAAGACTGCGGGAGGAGAGGAGATCTAATTTGCATCCGAAGCGGAACAGAGTGATAAATATGTACTAGGCGATGACGCAATCTTGTGAATATGTAAGTTTTGTTGCTTTAAATAGGAGGCAATTACCGCGACTTGGGGTGCAAGCATCCTTAGGGCACCTGACCCTCGCTGCACCCAGCGCTGCAGAGCTGTAATAAACATACCTGCTTCACAATCAACTTTGATTGCGGAGTTCTTTCACAGATCATGGGGTTCGCCTCCATAGTGCTTTGCACAGCCTCCACGGCCGCTTTTTTACCGCCTGGTGGCATATGGGTTAGCGGTGGAGGAAGGGAAGGTCATATCCCCTTTGGTCCCTGGGTTTAAAGCACCCTGGGCCATGCTGAGTGCTGCTGGCTGGAGAAGGAACA